TTTACTCTCCTTGAATCGCTACCTTATCGTGGTGGAGGGGTTTGTGTGTCCCAGGGATCCCAGGGGCTATGTTGTCTGGGGGCTTTTGCCCCCTGGTAGGGTCTCCCATGGCAAATTGGTCCTGGGTGAGGGACCAGACAAAGAGCGATTCAGAAGACCTATGAAGAGAACATCGAGGGAACAGTTTACCCTGCCCGGGATAGGGTTACCGGGGCCCCGCCCTGGAGCCAGGCCCGGGGAGGGTGCCCGAGGGCGAGCGTCTGGTGGCCGGGCCTTAGTCCATGGGGCCCGGCCGGGCACAGCCCGAAGAGGAGACATGGGCCCATCCTCCCGCAGGCCCACCACCCGCAGGAGGCGCCATAGGGGTCGGGTGCATTGTGAGCCGGGTGGCGGCCAGGAGCGGAGGCCCTGGCGGACCGACCCCCGGCTGCCAAGACTGGCAATAGGGACATGGAATGTCACCTCTCTGGTGGGGAAGGAGCCTGAGTTGGTGCGTGAGGTTGAGAGGTACCGGCTAGATATAGTTGGGCTCACCTCTACGCATTGTCTGGGCTCTGGAACCAGTCTCCTGGAGAGGGGCTGGACTCTGTCTCAGTCTGGAGTTGCCCCTGGTGAGAGGCGGCGGGCTGGGGTGGGTATTCTTATATCCCCTCGGCTTGCTGCCGGTACGTTGGGGTTTTTCCCGGTGGACGAGAGGGTTTGCTCCCTGCGCCTTAGGGTCGGGGAACGGGTCCTGACTGTCATCTGCGCTTATGCGCCGGGTGGCAGTTCGGAGTACCCAGCCTTCTTAGAGTCCCTGGGGGGGGTGCTGGAAGGTGCTCCACCTGGAGACTCTGTTGTCCTGCTGGGAGACTTCAATGCTCACGTGGGTAACGACAGCGAGACCTGGAGGGGCGTGATTGGGAGGAACGGCCTCCCTGATCTGAACCCGAGCGGTGCTTTGTTATTGGACTTCTGTGCTAATCACAGTTTGGCCATAACGAACACCCTGTTCGAACATAAGAGTGTTCATAAGTGCACGTGGCACCAGGATGCTCTAGGCCGTAGGTCGATGATCGATTTTGTAATCGTATCACCAGACCTGCGACCATATGTTCTGGACACTCGGGTAAAGAGAGGGGCTGAGCTGTCAACTGATCACCACCTGGTGGTGAGTTGGATCAGGTGGCGGGGGAGGACGCTGGACAGACCTGGTGCACCTAAACGCGTAGTGAGGGTGTGCTGGGAACGTCTAGCAGAGGCCCCAGTCCGCGAGATCTTCAACGCACACCTCCGGCAGAGCTTCAACAGCATTCCGAGGGAGACTGGGGACATTGAGTCCGAATGGACCATGTTCAGCGTCTCCATTGCCGAAGCTGCTGCATTGAGCTGCGGCCGCAAGGTGGTTGGTGCCTGCCGTGGTGGTAATCCCCGAACCAAATGGTGGACACCAGAGGTGAAGGGAGCCACCAGGCTGAAGAAGGAGGCCTATCGGGCTTGGTTAGCCTGTGGGACTCCGGAGGCAGCCGACAGGTATCGACAGGCCAAGCGGAATGCGGCTCGGGCAGTGGCTGAAGCAAAAACTCGGGTGTGGGAGGAGTTCGGAGAGGCCATGGAAAAAGACTTTCGGACTGCCTCGAAGAGATTCTGGCAAACCGTCAGGCGTCTCAGGAGGGGAAAGCGGTGCTCTACCTGCGACTGTGTATAGTGCTGGCGGAGCGCTGTGACGTCGACTGAGAAAATTGTCGGCGGTGGAAGGAATACTTCGAGGACCTCCTTAATCCCACTGACACGTCTTCCGAGGAGGAAGCAGAGTCTGGGGATGAGGGGTATGACCCGCCAATTTCCGGGGGCGAGGTCACTGAGGCAGTTAAACAACTCCTTGGTGGCAGAGCCCCTGGTGTTGATGAGGTCCGCCCCGAGTTCCTGAAGGCGCTGGACGTTGTAGGGCTGTCTTGGTTGACACGTCTCTGCAATGTTGCGTGGAGATCAGGGGCAGTACCTGTGGACTGGCAGACCGGGGTGGTGGTCCCCATCTTTAAGAAGGGGGACCGGAGGGTGTGTTCCAACTACAGGGGGATCACACTCCTCAGCCTCCCTGGGAAAGTCTATGCCAGGGTGCTGGAAAGGAGAGTTCGTCCGCTAGTCGAACCTCGGATACAGGAGGAACAATGCGGTTTTCGTCCTGGTCGCGGAACACTGGACCAGCTCTTTATCCTCTCGAGGATACTTGAGGGTGCATGGGAGTTTGCCCAACCAGTCTACATGTGTTTTGTGGACTTGGAGAAGGCATTCGACCGTGTCCCTCGGGGTGTCCTGTGGGAGGTGTTGCGGGAGTATGGGGTGTCTGGCCCATTGCTACGGGCCATTGCAAGAGCTTGGTTCGCATTGCCGGCAATAAGTCGGACTCGTTCCCGGTGGGTGATGGGCTCCGCCAGGGCTGCCCTTTGTCTCCGGTTCTGTTCATAATTTTTATGGACAGGATTTCTAGGCGCAGCCAAGTGGCGGAGGGCTTTCGCTTTGGTGGCCTCAGAATCTCATCTCTGATTTTTGCGGATGATGTGGTTCTGTTGGCTTCATCGGGTGAGGGCCTCCAGCTCGCACTGGAACGGTTCGCAGCCGAGTGTGAAGCAGCGGGAATGAGGATCAGCACCTCCAAATCTGAGGCCATGGTTCTCAGCCGGAAAAGGGTGGAGTGCCCACTCCGGGTCGGGGATGAGTTCCTGCCCCAAGTGGAGGAGTTCAAGTATCTCGGGGTCTTGTTCGCGAGTGATGGGAGAAGGGAGCCGGAGATCGACAGACGGATTGGGGCTGCAGCTGCAGTAATGCGGACGCTGCACCGGTCCGTCGTGGTGAAGAGGGAGCTGAGTGTAAAAGCGAAGCTCTCAATTTACCGGTCGATCTACGTCCCTACCCTCACCTATGGCCACGAGCTGTGGGTAGTGACCGAAAGAACGAGATCGCGGATACAAGCGGCGGAAATGAGCTTCCTCCGAAGGGTGGCTGGCCTCTCCCTTAGAGATAGGGTGAGAAGTTCGGCCATCCGGGAGGGGCTCAGAGTAGAGCAGCTGCTGCTCCACATCGAAAGGAGCCAGCTGAGGTGGTTCGGGCATCTGACAAGGATGCCCCCTGGGCGCCTCCTGGGTGAGGTGTTCCAGGCATGTCCCACCGGGAGGAGGCCCCGGGGCAGACCCAGGACACGCTGGAGAGATTATATCTCTCGGCTGGCCTGGGAACGCCTTGGTATTCCCCCGGACAAGCTGGAGGAGGTGGCTGGGGAGAGGGAGGTCTGGGCCTCTTTGCTTAGGCTGCTGCCCCCGCGACCCGGCCTCGGATAAAGCGGATGAAGATGGATGGATGGATATATAATTTTAAGTTAAGCAGGACAGAGTTCTTTTAAAGAAAGATTTACTTATATTCTCAAAAGTTAAGCATGACAGGCTTCTGTTTAAGAAAGAGACCTGTTTTACTGTGTTAATGTTGTCATTTTGAGCTAAAAATAAATGGCTAAATGATCATTTGTTTCCCATATGGTCATATCACAAAGAATATGCATCTGCTTAAATCAAATTCAAGTCAAATGGTTAAAAAATAATTTCACACACAAAAAAAGAGCTACAAAATTCACCACACTGGGAAGGGTGAAGACAACTGGGTTGCCCGGCCCTGGCCACGAGGTGTCCCTTATTTATTTTTCAGGGAGTTGGCAACCCTAGTTCCCAGTGGGATGTATTGTGGATGTGTGCGCTGAGATGGTGGTAAAACGAGTTGAAAACACGGTAATCCTCGGCGCATCCATCGACTCCACAAATGACACGGAAATCTGGACTGCGACTGTGTGCAGTATTAATGTGACTTAAGAGAGACTTCAATGTTAACGCCACAAAGAGAAGCAATCACACACCTCCAACAGGCCATTGTATTAGACTAAAGTCAAGCAGAAATATTATGTTGTAGTTTGGGAAATACCAAGTTCATGGGGGAGGGGTATTACAAACTGGAGCTGTAAAAACAAAAAATGGTCACAAATAAGGTAAAATGAAATAACACCTATAAGAGTTTATTTTAAATCAATGAAGAAGAAATTTACCTATCATACTGACTGTGTTTTATGAACGTACAAACCACTAAATTGTATATAGAAGCAAAAATTGAGATGTGCACCCCCTTCTGTTCCATGTTAGTTGTTACCCAACTCCGTTTGAATTTGGAGTCACAGGAATCTTCTGCACCTGAGCATTGAAAGAAAAACTGTAAGAGAAAACTTCGTCAAGAAAGAGAGGTAAGCAATTTTAATTTTTCGAATGTAAGTAGTGTGTAGTCTAATCACTGTTTTAAAGTCAAGCGGACAGAATAATAAATTTAATTTGAGCGCGGGAAGGAGTAATGTAGCATGCTAACGGATGCTAGCGTTAGCTTAGCAGCCCTCGCATGTGGTTCAGAGAACATTATTTAGTGAAGTATCTACTGTAATGTTGTGAGAATTCCTAGCTATGCTATTTATAAGGGGCAGTATTAGCCGTTTGTATTAACTTAAGTTAATAGGCACACTGAGAATTTCTTTCAATTAGCAAGAGAGCTAATTAACCACATTCAGGGTTTTCCAATTGTCTTTGACTGATTTACTAGCTGCTTGAATTCCCTCACAAGGTGTGGGTTTAAATTAATATTTTGATATTAATTGGATTTATTAAAGTGGGCTCAAAACAGTGTTATTCAGGAATCAGGCTGGTTGGTAAAACAAGTAGCGCTGTGTATCGATTCAAAATTGAAACAGAAGATGGCAGCACTGTATGTACAAGGATGCCAGCTGCCGTTAAACCCCGAAGAAGAAGAAGCTGTATCCCAGAATTCATAGCGCGGCCTAGCTCAGTTTCCAAAAATGGCGGCAGCTAGTTAGTTTTAAAATTTCTCTTATTACTCTTTCTAGGTCACAAAATAAACGTTTAACATATTTTCAGGCGAGAATGTAGCCGTGTAAACTTCAAATATCTGGACAGTTTATCAAGACACCACATATTTTCAAAAGCGCTCCGACGTTTTCGGAGACGTCTGTTACCCACTAGCTCGATAGCTAGCCGGGGTTTAACGCTCACTAGAGCCGTGAGAACACCGGACTCCGGGCGAACCATTTTCAAAACCACCGCCGTCTTTCACTACTCAGGTAAACATGATATATAAGTCACTTAAATAACTTAAAAATGTTATTGTTTGGCTTTTTTCAGTATTTTATTTGTTCCTGAGTAAATCGGTTTGGCTGAGATTAAAGTTATAGTTTTTACACAGCTGAATAAACGTCAAGCAGACAACTGATTATCAGAAGTGTGAGATGCTGAGAATATACTCCGGTGTCCTTTTATATTTTAGATAGCAATGAGCAATCTGCAAATTTCTTTAAAATGTAATAAACTATCATCTTGCCTTTATTTTTAGTTAGCACATACCTTAAACACTTAAAGCTATAAGCTAATGATCGTTATGTAAGAGCAGATACTGCTGGTGCAATAAGCTGTACATTTTACGTCCAATGGATGCATGATCTGGCAGCCCTAGTCAGCATAATCTTATTGATGAAATTCAATGACACAAATCTGGGTGAGTAAAAGTTCACCGGGCAATATTGTATAACCCTTTCAGACCTCAGCCGGGCTGTCTGGACATTTCTTTTCTATAATAGCTTTAAAAAGGGTAAAAATGTTGAACAATCAAAACGATTCTTTGACGTGAATCAATTTGATTCTCATGGGACTCAATTAAGATTCAACTTTTCAAATGTTTTTAACATAACACTAATTGTAAACATTTGTCTTGCAGGTGACTGAGCAATGGAGAAGCTGGATGATGTAACAGTATCTGTCCTTAAAGGTTATATTTGATAATTTGAAATGTATGTATGTGGTAATACGTAGTATATATATATAATATATAAATATATATATATATATAATATATATATATTTATAACAGTTTTGTTTGTGCAGTTATGTGCTTGCACAGTTTAACTGGTGTTTGTCTTTTTGTTAGCTGCAAGCATTGACGAGCGCATGCTTTTAACATTGACCCGTGATGATCTGAGGGACCTTTTTTCTGGGCCTGAGCACTTTCTCAGAAGAAAACATGTGTGGTCAATAATTCATCCTGAGGTATTATGTAAAAATATTTAGTTCAACTAATCTCCAGAAAGTATGCTTTTATTTTAGCAGTACTTGACATTTTTATTTTCTCACCCTAAACCAGGAAGACCATCCGCTACCACAGAAACCTGAAACAACTTCTTCACCCAGGGTAGTTGCAACAGGCCCTCCAACTGCTGATGCTAATGTAAGCCAGCTGAAAACCTTGCAGCTCCCCAGTCCTCCGGAATATGTTCTGTACACCGACAGTGAGTTGGAGCAATGCCGAAAGAGTTACCTGGAGTTGGCCTGCTCCGGCAGGGAACAGGCATGCGTCATGTCAAAAGAACTGAGATGCAGATTGGTGAGAAATACAATCACAAGTATGGTGTCCCTTTTGAGAGCAAGCCAAGGCCAAATGGAGCGATACCCCTCTAAGACCGAAATCACTGCAATGGCTAAAAAAGTTGTGGAATATTATCCTATGCTGCAGGATAATGATGCAAGCGTAAAACACGTAAGTTCTTGTATTTGTGTCTCATATATAAATCATTTTGTTTTGTTCAGGGGGCATGATATATATGTATTTTCACCAGGAGAGCATTAATGCCAAGTTACAAAAAAGGCTGCAAAGTATGAAAACCCCAGTAAAAAGGCAAGGACCAACACCGGAGAGGGGACGGCCCAAGAGAAGGCTCACTGACCTCTCCCCAAGGGATGAAGATGCTGATCGCAGTTCTTCCAGTGGTGCATCTACTCTGTTGTCACCTGTCAGAAATTCTGACGATGCCTCCACTTCATGTGAGTACATACATGTAATTTTGTAAAATGGTTATCAACACACAGCCAGTAGTAGCTAATGTTTTGTGGAAGTCTACTTCAGTAACAATGAAAAACCAAAATGCTCTTGTACTTCTCTCTATCTTAGCTGACAAGGATAGTCAGCAAATACAAGCAAGACATTACAAAACATTACAAGAAATGTGTAAGAAGGCAAAACCAAACCAAGAAGATGTGTCCCAGCTATTAGACCTCGAGTTTGAAGCCAGAAGATCCTTCATTGACTCAGATACCATGAAAGAGGAGAACAGAGCTCGCCTCGTCTTGGATGCATATCCATGCTTTAAAGAATTGCATCATGTAAGTTTTTGGAAGAGTTAATCAATAATTACTTTAATTTCAAATATATTTGGTGTGGTAGTAAAGTTATTTTGATTTTATTTGTTTACTTATTTTTTTAAACCTATTGTAGGCGTTGGGTGAGCTTCGCAGAATTTTGGATCCCCACAACAACAAGTTCATCAGTCAAGTAAAACTGAGATGGGAAGAATTCTGCTCCAGGGTAGAGTTCTACGGTGTGTCAAAGAAGGCAATGAATCCACCAATGACCATGGACAAAAGTAAGTTTTACCATTTGAATACAAAGTTCTCATCCTTTAAAATTTATGTTTATGAAGGTTTGTTGCTGCTTTGTCCAGCTGAAGCCCACCTTGCACTGATGAAGGCTCTTCCAACGCTCTTTCCCACACCTGCCCATCCACCAAAAAAGATGGGGAATGCTTCTGAAAATATTTCGGTCAAACATGACTCAAAAATGCTTTTTCGGTTTCAGCCAAAAGACTTAAATCTATAATTTATTGTTTTCATTAATTTATAACGTATTTAATGTAGTGGTCACATAAGGAGTCGCTTGACACTGATAAACCATAAGTCAAAACTACTATAAAATGTGTGTAACCAACAAAGAACAAGATAATGACGTCTCCAACGTTATGACCAAATCCCAGCAAAAAAACATACAGTTAACATAAGATGTTAACTTATGTCTTCATTGTGAAACCTGACCCCACCTTATCATGCGAAAGGTGGGGCCAGGTTTCACAATGAACACACCCGAAACTCTGGCTGATTGGGACCCACGCCCAGTTTCACACCTTGGCTCAGGCGATTAGAGGATCATCAGGGGGTCCTTTTGTCACTCTGTGGGGGGTCACTCCCACTAGGTTTATATCTGGGACTCTCCACCATTTGACCTTAGAACTGAAGAAGCTTCTCGGATGAGAGGTGAAACGTCTTCAAGCAACTTAAAGAAGTCCAGACGCTTTTCTTTGCAAGCTCCTTTGACTACGATGACCTGGATGACTGAGAACCTTCACAGACATTGCTGTTGGTAATTTACCAGTTACAACATTTGACAAAGAAAAAATTGGTGAGGCTATGATATATGTGATGGCATGCTTTTATGCACTCCATCTGACTTACCCCAAATGCGTGGCAACTCTGCTGTCTGTCATTGAGACAGAAGTTCTCCAGGATGCCATTCATGAGCATGACACTACATCATCTTACAGAAAAGCCCTGGCAGAATGGCATGCATTTATTGGAAAGTAGTGTGTTAATTTCAGATAAGATTAGGAGAGGGCACTTCTGTTTTGTTTTTTTAATCTGGGTCTTATTTCTAAAATGGAAAATGTTCATTTACTCACCCTTTATTTAAATCTAGATATTTTTCTTATTTCAAGAAATCTTATTAAGAAGAAAACACTTACCCCATGGGCAGATAATTTCACTTGTTTTAAGCAAATCTTCACCAAAAATAAGTGTATTTTTCTAGTATTAAGGAGGTGGGTTTTTGCAATGTGGGCACCGGCTCACTGCATGACGTAGTCGAGGGCAACGAGAAAAAGTAGAGGTGACAGGATGCAGCCCTGCCTGACGCCGGTGGTGATTTTGAAGAAGTCGGTGTGGCCATTTCCGGTCTTAACGCAACAGCATGATCGCAAGTGCAGGTCCTTGAATATGTTGATGAAGATGGTAGGGACACTGTACAAGTGCAGGATCTGCCAAAGAGAATCGCGGTGGATGCTATCGAAGGCCTTCTTGAGGCCTTTATTTGAGAGAAAAATTATATATATATATATATATATATATATATATATAGTTTGATAAAAGACTAATAAGTTTGATTTTAAATTTTAGCAAAATAGTGTAATGAAAGTACTGTATATGATCACACTGGGAGGATAAACCTCACACTGGGAGGATAAAGGAGAGCCAGCACAATATATAGACACACATAAGGCCAATCGGGGAAGTGCAGACAGCTGGGGAAACAAGACTGAACTAAATCAGATGACAAGGCGGAGAAAGGCAAGGCACATGGGACAAATAAGTATCAAGTACCAGGGAAACACAAACACACAAATGAATTTAATATAGGCGAACTCTCACAAGAGGAAAGAACAAGGAACACTGAGGGAAGGATGGAATTAATACAACCAGGAACTAAGAACTCAAGACTGAGCAGCATGACGACAGCATGGAGGCTTCCTAAGACAGCAGGAATGTAAAGACTGAAAAGGCTGTTGCCTTTTGAGAATAAACTACATGTCTATAAAGAAATGAATGCCAGTAAGAAATAAATAAAGTATGAACCAAACAAATCAACAAAGACTGTCTTGTGAAGCCTACACTGTCCCTTCAAACACAATTCATGTATTTGTTGTACTCTGCACAATATAGCTGAATAAACATGATCAGATATGAGTGCGGTACAGTGTTTGTAGTATTTTGGAGTTATACTGAACAGAGTTTCTGTCAGATGCTGCTTGAGGTTTGGTGACAAACAGTTTGCCAGAGGAAGTGTTCGAGTCACAGACGAAACAAAATGAGCACAGATGTATCACACTGACTGTATAGCAGCCAGCCCGGTGACTGTGCATTTTCATGCAACCATTCTCAGTCTGGTGTAGGTTGCCCCAAGCTCTTCCATTTGTCTTTTTTAAGCCTTTCAGTGGGGAACCAAATGAGAAATCTGGGTTTTACCCTGAGACCAAGCAAAAGACATTTAGCTGTGCTCGAGGCTACAGCTTCATGAGAACATATTATTACTTTTATCATCTGGAGAGCCATCACAGACAGTCCATTTCCTTTCTGAGCTTTGTTTTGTTTCTTACTGATTTTATGTACTGAAGTTTACTGTAGTCATACTGTATTCACAGGGCAACATATAAAAAACCCCACACAATGTTCTTTGAATTTACCAGGTAAATATTAGCAATGTTCCATAATTATGTATAACAGGCTTGAGTTCAAAAAGACTTGAGCTTACCAAAGCAAAAAGCACCTAGATCCTTACTTTGTATGCCTTTACACAGATGTAAATGTAAAACTAACAGGTTGTATTAACACAGTTATTGAAACCTGCTACATGTGAGACAACTGTTAGCATACAATTATTCATTTGATCATTTTTCAATCTGTCATCTCTATGGTTATGTAATTTTAAGCAATATAAAAACTTATAAAAAATTGATATACACACCTATTTTTCTTAAAATTCAACATATCATTAACAGTCCCTGTGCTCACATGACCTTAACTCTGCTTATAGTACCAACACCCATTTTTTAAAAGTATTTTCAAGTACATTTGAAAAAGTACAGTGGTGCTGTTTTATTTTCCCATCTCATGGTGAACTTAACTGGAAAGACCTTTGAAATGACAGCGCAGATCAATTATACCTCACCAATATACTCCACGGTCTCTGCATCGTGTCTTCAACTGCAAGTCAAAGGTCACAGGTACACAGATAGGAAAGGTTTTTTTCACTTCCTCATGTTTTTTGTTGAAATATATAGCCTCGAATGTGCTAAATATCACCTATAGATGTCTTTTAGGCTACATCCACACTAAAAAATGGTAAATGGCCTGTATTTATATAGCGCTTTACTAGTCCCTAAGGACCCCAAAGCGCTTTACATATCCAGTCATCCACCCATTCACACACACATTCACACACTGGTGATGGCAAGCTACGTTGTAGCCACAGCCACCCTGGGGCGCACTGACAGACACTAGCATGGATAGATTTGAAAATGGTGTTTTTGTCTGAAAACGCTCCGCGTCCACACTACCGTTTTCAGTCATTTTCAAAGAGTTGCGCATCCACACTAAAATGGCCAAAAAGGCTGACATTGCAGTTCCGCCCACGTGTGAAACGCAAGACGACTCGACTACCAAAATTGTGAGCAAACAAAACAACTTCTGTCCGATGCTGTCTGCCATCTTGGTTTAAGTGGTCATGTGACTACATCATATGACCAACATACGTCATCATTTTCGAAAGTCTGCCTTTTCGAATTTCCACACTGCGACGGGACAACTCAGTTTAGAAATGTATGCGTTTTCGAGAGCATTTTCAAAACGCTGCCTTTTTCCTTCGGGAAAGTGCCGTCTCAGCGTGGACGGGAGGCCAAAAGAGAAAACAATGCGTTTTCAAACGAAAATGCATTAGTGCAGACGTAGCCTTAGACTTCTAATCAGTAATAAAACATAATTAATAGGGCATTTTTTAGTTGAATAAAGTTTTTTTATTCTTAGGCCCTTTGCTGAACTAATTTTTAACTCAGTTTTTTCCCTTTCATGAGCAAAAAAGCTACACCATGATTATCAACAGTTATCACAATCCTATAGTCCCTGACTCTCTGTTTCCTTTGACAGAACTCATCTGCGTGGATCATGGTTGCAGGTAAGATCCCAGCTTGTGCTGCTTTGTGATTCACCCCCCCTCCCTGATGATCTCACTCTGGGGACCAATGACAGAGGGGATGGATCAGGCCAAATTACTGATATAGATACTTGGTTAGAACTTCGGGCTCTTCTCTCTATCTTCCTGCAACTCATTTTTTCCAGCAGGCTCTCTGTGAACTTCCTGACCTCAGGCTTTCAACACCTGCTAACTAAAGTGCTGCACACATATCGCAGAGTTAATGGGGATCAGACACCCTCTACTCCCCCCTCCTCCTCCCTCATGCCTGATGCTCACCCCTGCCCCAGTCTGCTAAAAGTGTACTGCAGAATGAAAAAAGATGGTGAAAATGACATTGCAGACAGTTGGCTCTGTGGATTCTCGTCAGTGCCCCACTCAGGTCAGAGAGTCATTCTTTTTCATGGAGACTGATCTCAGCAGCAGCTGATATGACTGAGTGATGTTGAGTATGGAAGAAAAAGTGTAGTGACTCATTTGGTGACAATCAGATGTTGTGAAAACCATGTTTTAATTGACTTCCACTCCATAAACAGTTGAAAAATTGATATATTGTGAACTACATGACAAGTGGAAAAGCACCTTCTTGTAATCACAGCTACATCACATTGTAACAACAACAGATGGTGGTCCCTCACTGAGCTGCAGTGGTTCTGCAGGGGCATTCTCCCTGTTAAAGGAGAGTTTTTCCTCTTCACTGTCGCCAAGTGCTCGCTCATCGGGGGCCATCTGATTGTCGGGGTTTTCTCTGGATTATTGTAACGGCTTTGCTTTACAGTATAGGAGACTTTAAGGTGGCCATTGTTGTGATTTGGCTCTATGTAAATAAAATAAAATTGAATTCATTTATCAGCCTTAACTTGCCTGCTTCCCAGTTTCCTGTTTTCCTTTGGTTGTGGTAATGGGCAGCTAGACGTAAAACTGTATCACAGACTGGAAAGTGAAACTGGAGAAATATAAAGAGTGCAAATAATTTAAATGTCTTATAAAGCTAAGCAGTAATCTGAGTTATTACTGATGAGTTTGCC